CAATACGTTTGATGTTTGTGAAGCCGTTTGTAATCCGTTGGCGTAAGTAGTACTGCGTACGAGTTGAAGTAATCGACGAACACCATTAGCTGTCGTTGATTTTAGAAATGTACGTTTTTGTTGAACTTCAGTTTTGAATGAGCCTGATAGAATAAGATTTGGGGTGAGAAGAGTTTCTGAGTTAAAATCATCGACTGCATCATGTACTGATCTATTAGCATGTGAACAGAACGCGGCAAGTAGTTGAAAAAAACTACTGGCCAATGCACGAAAATCACCTTGATATAAACTTCCGATGTCAGAACTGAAAAGATGATTAATCCAATCGTCGGAAACGAACATGCTCGAACATACAGGATGATAGTCGACAGTCGTCCAAGTAAAATTAATGTATGGAATGGTGGCAAGACTGCATGGACATACTGGTGGACTCGTATTTTTGCCCAGTAAGGCCTCAAAAGATGCTTGAGACGGATTTCTAATAGTGATAACTTCGGATTGAGTGCTTAAAGAAGAGGAAACGACAAGAATGATGACAGAGACTGTGAGAAGAACAATATAGACACGAGTAGAAATGATCGCAGTGCGCAAATGGAATGGATCTAAACGAGAGGCCTCGTCTACGAACAAATTCAATTCAGCAGCATTTTTCTTCATTTGACGAGCAGCAACACCGATAGCTTTCATCCTTGTTTTACTGATGAGAATGAAGTGCGTCTTAAGTTGCGTACTGTTTTCTTAAGTTGTGTTGCAGAAGATTATTAGGTATATGGAAAACATTACTGTTTGTGCTCGAAATAGGAAACGAGTAATTTTTTTCTCACAAAGCCTCTATTTAATTAGATACACGCAACTGGTGAAAAATAATTACACTTATAAGTAGGTAAAGAAGCTATAAAATTCATAACTCTATTAAGAGTCTCGAACAGAATAGAATTGCTTGGTTTATCGCCCTAGTGATGCGATACTGTGTGACGAAGAAAAGCACTTTGTGCTGTATCACTTCATACAGAAAATGAAAGAATGAAAAAGTGCAGAAAGGAATGATATATGTGGTATCTCACATCGTTCAGAAAATGGAAGCATGGATAAGATAGAATTAACAGAAATTTCAGCAAATTTTAAAATGTTGATCTTTTACATACAAAAAAAATATCAAGCTTTTTGGTATAACCAACGGCTATTTTTTATCATGCAAACGCCGACGTGACTTGGAGTATCGACACCTCTAAATGAGCAATGCCGCACAGTAGAAATCTGTGCAGTTGTAGAACACCTTCATTGTTGATTTCATGACTGGATATGACACGAATATTTGAAATATTTTCGACTTGTGTTTCAGACGCTGTACAAATTATTCTGTAGATCGAGATAGCTCCAATAAACGACTAGCTATAATGACTATGATGTATTCTTCTTCTAATACGCAAATTAAAAGAATAAGTAGCAACCACTATCGCAACTTCAATCTTGTTAATGAACTCACAAAGTAAATTGCTCTTTTATTCTATCTGTTTCAGTTTTTCTCAGAGAACTGCTTTATTTAATTACTTATAAACCTGATATGCTTTTTCTCTTATTCTGTTGTTAATACTTTTTCGATTTTGTTTTTTTTTATTTCATGTATTGTTGATTTATCTGTTGATTTGTATAATGTGTTTTTTGTCCTGTTATTGTTGTTTACAGGGCGGATGTTTCTTTTTTATAATTCATTTTATCTTCTTTCTTTTAATTTGTTAGCTATTCGCATCTATCTATCTTAATCAGTGCTAAATCGAACTCTGTCAGCCATTTCTATAGAATATTCATTCAATCTTTCTTTTTCAAAATTTCTAATATCTTCCCTGAATTATGTTTTTCAAACTCTTTTCTCTTGGATCTCTCTTCTTGCTTTTCCGTTGATTTTCGACCTTTTTATGATTCGTTAGTCTTCTTTTCTATAATTATATTAGTGTATGTTGTGATAACTTATCTTTAAATAACTATCTTGTCTTATTTTGTTTCAACAATCTTTATTATTTTCTTGCAGATATTCTTTGTTTTTTCATCGTTATTTCTTTCTTTTTGCGTAATTCTCTTTTTCTTGCTTACATCTTTCTGTTCTTTCGTGCATATCCATTGAAATATTAAACCTTTCAATGTAATTGTTTCTTTGATGAACACTTTCTTTCTTTTTCTTCATACCGGTCGCCAGCTTGCTTTTTTACTGTTTCTCTCTCTCTCTCTCTGAATCACACTCGTCTTATCTAAACTAGAGATGTATATCGCAGCTGAAAATCCGCTGCTGCCACTACAATATAAAAAATGAAGTTCACAGTGTCAATACCATTATGTAGAAAATGGAATAGTTATTGTCGATTTACCCGACTGGTAAAGGTCAATATTTGCGAAAAAGGGTGTGGGTGGGGGTGGGTGAAAATGTGGGTGGAGGTGTGGATCTGGGTGGGTGTGGGTGTGAGTGTACCTCTTCTGTTCATACCCACACCATCACTCACACACCCACATCCACACAATCATTTGATCAGTAGGAAACAATTCTGAACCTGTAAAACGTCAGTGAGACAAAAAAAAAGAACAAATAATTAAACAATAAAAAGGATGTTTTGATTAAATTCATTTTTTTTTGACTGGACCCTAATGGGGGAATCCAGCTGAATTTTTCTAGAAAAAAAATATTCGCTGATAATACTTCGAGACACATGAGTCGAGTTGGTTTTTTATGCAGATTCCAAGTATGTTGCTCGTGTTGACTAAAGGCCTACTTTTTTTCAATAAAAACCTGTTTAAGACTAATGAAAAATGCAAAAAAATGGTGTCTAAACGAAACTCAAGTCGTCTTTTTTAACAAAGCTTACTTTTAAAAGAATTGAAACGTATCTGGTTTTGTAGCTCTTCTTTCGAACTTTCAAAATTAATCAAAAACACATGTTGTCCTTTTCCTTTCTCGAAATATTAAGAAAACAGTGAGCAGAAGTGAATAGAAATTCTAATATCACTATATGATTTTCATGGTCATTTGGAACAATATTTAAGTCATTACTCAGCAAACACTTCAATCATTCGAGCTGAAATTTCTACCAGAGATAAACTATAGAATGGATAGTCGGTTGACATAATTTTCAGTTGGAAATGCATTAGACAAGTCAACGTTCCATGAATGAATAATTATCCATTTATGGTACAAATGTGAATACGAGTAATTTGAGCAATAATCGGTCTGGATCCTTGGGAAATCGCTTTATTTTGTTATCAAATGATTCCTCGTGAAATTCTGCATTAGATAAATCATGAATGGAGGGAAACTGAAGATAGCTCGAAAACGGTGTTTATCTGCCCATGTTCTTTGCAACAGATTATCTTTCTATTTTGAATTTACTTCTTGCTATTACATTTGCTCTAGCATTTTGTATTAATCTACTATTCTTTCATCATTGATTTATAAATTCTCTTTTTCAAGTTCCTTACATTCAATATTTTATCATTAATCCAAGACACTTAAAGATTTATATTTGTTTATAAATCAAGTTAATTTGGAATAATATATTAAATATTTTTCATCGATTAGATGTTCGAAATCTAAATCAAAAGAAAAATCATGAAGAAATTCGAAAAGTTTTTTGTGCTTTTGCAGAATAAATATCGAAAACGTTCTACGTAATATTATGTACTCGAAATACCTTATTGGTTTTGGTCATATGAAGATCATATATTTTTTCTATGACGTAGCTGAACTGTCATGACATGGGTTATGTCAAATTAATCATTATTATTATGACGGATAGTTAAAATATTTCTTTGTCTATCTATCCCTGTTGTTTTTTCAATAGAAACGAATTTTCCAACTTCTAGTTGGAAAATTCCAACTAACACTCGTGAGCCAAGATGATTATACAATTTTTGTTGAATAATACTGAGTCATTATTATTCGTTCATTGTTTTCAAAAAATTGAGTCATACGAATAGTATAAAACAGTCGATTGATAATTAATAGATTTAGTATTCAATAAATGAACTATACCTTAGAAGTAATTTGTTAGTGAAACTAATTTTTTGTTCTATACTGATGTTTATTAATTGATTGAATCAAAACTTGATTCTTGTTTCTCCTCAAAATATAATTTACACAAAATAACTCATATACATTTTATATGATTGTATAACAAATAGAAATCATATTAAAATTTTCTCAAGTATATCAAATAGTTTTAGCATTTGTTTTCAACAAATAGAAGTCCTTAAAATACAAATGATGATATTTTTACAAATTCAATTGAGATTTTTCAAATTGATTGCAATGCATAATCATTGATATTATCAAATAGAATGCGTCAAAATATTATTTTGACAAAATGTAATTATTTTTTAGTGATTCATTGAATAGTAAGTCAATATCTACGAGTCCTTTTTTCTTTTTGTGTCTCTCAATAGTTTAAATTTTTTGTGATGAATCATTTTCGTTCTCTCAAAATAGGAAATCACTCATTATAATAATTATGCGTCAAGTTTTCACAAAGAAATACTGTGTCATTTTGTTTATTAACTCCCACTTAATGCGTAAGTTTTTATCCATTCCATATATATATATATGTAAAGTTCTTGCTTCATATCATCACTTTTATCAATTATGGACTAAAGTTTATTTTTGTTTCAATCAGTTTCATTTTTTGTATTTATCAGATAAGCAGTGTTAAAATTTTAATTTCTTGTGAAAAATATTAGGCATCATTTCTTTTATGTTGGAAGTGTCTCATTCTGTCATACTGTGTTATAAATCACATAAACATACATCTATGCGTGTATGTGTCCTTTATTTTCGGAACGAATTTCTGGAATAAACATTCGAAACTACTATAGAATATTATTTTAATTATTGATCATTCTTAATCAGTATTTTTTGTAAACTATATAATAAAGGAAATAATGAATTTTACATGTTTCTAAAATTCTACTCTTTCAATAGTGCCATATAACTCGTTTTCTTCTTGCTGATTAATAACACGATGGTTGGTATTGACGCAAAAAATAAAAATATTCTTGATACGAGTTATATTTGTTCCGTTTGTCCATTGATATTACGAAATCCAATTCAATTAGCAGGCTGTGGTCATCGACAGTGTCAATCATGTCTTGAATCTCAACATGGGTAAGTTTCATTATTCAATTAATTTGACATTTCTTAGTTTTGTTTTCAGAACAACAATCAAATGTCCACAATGTTTAACAGTAACATCACAAAACCAAGTAAAATATTTATCTTACTTCAGTAGAATATAAATGTTTGCTGTTTCAGATGAAAACTGATCGAGGTTGCAAAAATGACATGAAATCATTACCGATTGAATGTTCTTTTTGTAAGTGGATTGGTGTCCTCAACGATTACCAAGTAACATATCTTATATTAATCTTATTTCTGAACGCAAGATTCTTTTCTTCAACAGGAACATCTCGATCGAAATCATCAAAATCCAAAATGCGAATATTGTAATGAACAGTGTAATTCAGTTGAAAACCTTAATGAACATAAAGTATTGAAATGTGAAAAAATGCTTGTGAACTGCTTGTTGAAAGACTTTGGTTGTTATGAACAAGTATAGACATTAACTAGTTGAGACTAATTCACCTGACACTATTTTCTATAGATTCATCATTGTAATTTATCAAATCATTATTTGAGTGAACAACATCTGAATTCATTAATGAAAATTTTTCATCAAATGAAATTACAACTAGACAATGTGAGAAAGGCATCAACTCAAATGAACATTGATCCTTCTCAATCAACAACAGTTGTAGCTGCTGATTCGAGTACAGTTCTTTTTCAAGAGTTATGTGAAATACTCGATATTTCATCAGATGATTTAAACATATTGAATAATGATGCACAAGAACGACTTAATAATGTATTACTTCAATGTCAAACATTTCCAACATTGACACTAAACTTTTTACAATCTAAATTGTCTATACAAGAAAGCAATAATGACTCAAATGGATTCACCATCAATCACGAGATTATTAAAGAGAATTTAACATCATGGAAGAAAACAATTGAAAATTCGCAATATATATCATATGACGGAACATTTATATGGAAAATTACAAATGTTAAAAAACAAATGGGTAAATACAATTATTATTTACTGTAAAACTTAGATGCGGAATATCAATAAAGTGTAGTGAGAACAAAATAGACTCAAGTTATGAGACAGAAACAGATATATTCTAATAAAATAATAATTGTACTTTCAAAGTCATGCACGTAGTTAATCATTACAAGGTACAACATATAAAAGTGATCAATACAAAATAATATGACATTCAAATGTATTCTTTTGACTATATGTATTTTTCTTGTCTTTAACGACTAGTTGAAGCAGAATCTGGACGACAAATATCAATTTATTCGCCTCCATTTTATTCATCTCTAAATGGTTATAAAATGCGAGCTCGTCTTTATTTAAATGGTGATGCAAATGCTCGTCATACACACATGTCACTCTTTTTTGTGCTTATGCGAGATTTGAATGATCCAATTCTTAAATTTCCATTCAACTATAAAGTCACATTTTGTTTATACGATCAAACGCCTGCACAACGACATATTATCGATTCATTTCGACCAGACATTAAATCAGGTAGCTTTCAGCGACCTCAATCGGATATGAATATAGTCAGTGGTATACCGAAATTTTTCCCGTTGGAAGTAATTCAACAGGAGGGGAATCCGTATGTGCGAGGCGACACAATGTTCATCAAACTTATGGTTGATTTTAATGATATACCGACAACATTATTGCCCTATGCAATGAGTCTTAATCCAGGATTACCAATACATGTTCAGCAAATGATGATCGAGCAAGAAGTGAAACGAAGATCGGAACAACAACCTTAAGAATCGACTGAAACAAAAGAAATAAAACTGAGTCGCGAAGAAACTGCTGAATAAGAAAAGAGTTGTTTAACGTATTGAACCGATTATTAGGAAGATTGCGTTTCTGGGCAATATGTTTCTTGATTCTTCGACCAACTAAGAGATATAGCAGAAATTTTATACTAATGGGTTAGTAACAGAATTTTTTACTCCTTCGGATCTTAGGAAGGCCTGAAAATAAAGTTTGAGCGAATTTCCATTTGGAAAAAGAAACACATTCAAAGTAGACGGAAAATTTGGTTCAAATACGACAAAATAAAAAAGAGCAAACATTTCTCTAGAAAATGATAGTCTGATCATTAATTTTCCGTGAAGCTTCTTTGAGTAATGAGTTTTCGAAGTTTCTTGTTTTTCAGACTTTCAAACAGCTCAATCACTTCTGTAGTATTGCTGAGAAATTCTCGGTGCTTAGTTCACTTTGAAGAGAATTGTCTTACCATTAGCGGCGCGCGAAAAATTAGTAATAGAAAGTATTCAAAAAGAGACATTATTGCTGAGAAAGATATATACTGTCTAGGTGCTGATCCAGAAAAATTGAAAACGTGATGCAATCAAGCGAAAGAAAATTTGACTAAGGAGAGAACTTCTTCAGGTGCTCCCATCCGATTTTATTGATTTTATGCCTATAAATCTTGTTCAGTGCTCTAGTAGAAACCCTTAAAGGATTTGAGTTACTATCACTTCCTTCAAAATCTATGATCATTTTTATTCTGCCTCTATAATCTATAACATACAATGTGGTCATAAATAGCACTGCGATAAAAAATGAAATATCTTCGCATCAGTTCAACCAAATAGGCTGACTTTTGGTTATCGGTAGAAGTTTATTCCAAATAGGTAGATAGTATTAAGTATTATTGTTGGTATCATGAAAGTGATTTTACCCGTTATCAAATAAAAAAAATACATGCTTAGCGTTTCGTAGATGACTTTCAATTATCATCTAAGACAATAATAAGAACAAGTCAAAGCAAACTTTACGAATAATTCTGTATTGATACACATAAATCAAGTTTTTAAAACTAATCAATTTAAATGCTGAAATTTGTGTTCCATAAGTAAAACAAACAATTGCAGACTTTTGTGTATCAAAACATCGATTTTCTTGAAAAAGTCAATATTCTATGTTTGAGAATTCGAAATTTTGTAATCATTGACTTTTAAATTAACTACTTTGGAAAACTTGCTTTATGTACATCAATATAGAATCTTTCATAATGTTTGTTTTGACTTGTTCTTATTATTCTCTTAGATGATAACTCTAAATCATCTATGAAACACTAAACAAATCTTTTTTTACATGTTAACGGATAAAATCGCTTTCACGATACCAACAATAATACTTAACACTAGTATTTGCTTACTTGGAATAAACTTCTACCAATAACCAAAAAATCAGTCTATTTGGTTGAACTGATGCGGAGATATTTCATTTTTTTATCGTAGTGCTATTTATGACCCACACTGTATGTTCTGCACTATCGAGGCAAAATAAAAATGTTCATAGATTTTGAAGGAAGTGATAGGAACCCAAATCCTTTAAGGGTTTCTACTAGAGCACTGAACAATATCTATAGGCAAAAAATCATTGAAATCAGAGCGAGTGGGACACCTGAAAAGGTTCCTTCGTTAGCTGAATTGGATACATTTACGATGAAAATAAGAAAATGCCGTGAAAAATAGCAGAAAATGAGTTCCAAAAAAGATACGATTACTTATTCCTTCTTGAAATCTGTTCATATAGCTTTTTCTGTCCAAATTTGATTTCCAGGCTTTCCAAACATTAACTCATAGCTATTAACCTATGAATTCTACAAAAATACTAAGTATGGGTTGGAAAAGAGAAAAAAATTGTGATTTTAACTCATCGTTCTAATACTCCTGCTGTATTTCTTTATCGGTCGAACAATGTCAAAAACATTGTGCCCAAAAACTGTCCGTCCATCAATTCATCTTTCTTTCTGTATTTTCATTTACTTTTGAATTTAACCAAGCTTAAGATATATGTTCCACCTTTAAAAAATATCAAGAAAAAACCCATATTCCACGATATGATACGTAAAGAACGATTTCCTAAAAAATTTTTTTTGTCACATGATTTGGTTAACATGAATTTAAGAATATTTTAAAATAATCAAATTTTTATTTCATGAAACATTTCTAGTGCTATCTATTGTTATATTCGTCGAATTCCTCGATCAATATTTTTTTATAAGATTCTCTGTTTACTAATCGTAAGATGTTGTTGATAATACATTGTCACAATTTAAAGTCATCTTAATCATATCCTACATAGTCTTTTTAGTTTATCAAAGATGTCAAATATTTTATCTCATTCAATTTATCAAATCACCCATCACAAAAGTACGCATTGCTATTTTTTCGAAATTATTCGATTGCGGAGAAAATTTGTTTTTCCCTAAATTATAGACCACACCAATGGAATCCTGCCCATAATTCTCAATTTCGCTCATAAAAACTAAACTTTTATGTGACAAAATTCTCATATGCAGGATTGGTGTCAAAAATGAAGTCGATCGATATCTCTCTGTATTGTTTCCAATGAATTCAGTTTTTTGCTTATAATGATAACTGAAATTTTCACCAGAAAATGAAAGATTTTGAAACGTTCAGAGACATACATCATCTTTTGATGCTGATACCGAATAGGATAATCTCATTGCAATAAGGCTTGGCTATTATGAGGAAAATTGCGAATTACAAACAGAATCCTATCAATATGAACAGGCATTAAGGCAAAATGAATTTTCTCCGAAACGAAATAAAATAGAAAAAATAATGATGTATATTTTTGTTACTAGTAATATGATGAATTGAATGAAATAAGATATATGGTTTCCTTTTTTCAACCAAAAAAACTCAATATGGGTCTACACAATTGACCTCTAAGCATGATAATGGGCATAATATGAGAAGTCACTATGAAAAAACTTTTTGGATTAAAGCTAATTTAATATCTTGCCTAGATTCACTTTTTAAAGTTAAATCGAAACAAAAAAAATATTCTTAGAAGCTTGAAAAAAAACAAAACAGACAATTTTGTAATTTTTTTTCCATTCTAAAAGAGAATTCATAAACAATAAAAATAATTTTTTCTTGATTCACAGCTTTCGTTCTATCAAACCATATGCAAGAAAAAGTAAAAAAAAGGATTTGAAATTTGCATTGCTGGTACGTTATGTACTCATGTGAATGTACTTTGTTCTGAAGAAAAGCCACAATTTTGATATATAAAAAGAATTATTTTGTGATCGAATCGTTGTTCTATTGAATCATTATAACCTCCTGTTTCACATAATACAAAGGTTATTGTTTATATATACGTATATAAACAAGGTATGATTCGTCTTAAACAGACAAAAATTTCTGAAAACGTATTTAAAGAACCTATTCGCGATTTCCATTTGAATATTTTCCTGTTCATCGAAAAAGTACCAAAACCAGTTATTTTCATCATGAAAGATGCGTGACGATCCCAGTCAGACAAAAATTTTGAAAAACGCGTTTAAACGCACAATCGGGAACCGCGATTGTAAGCCATTAACGCTCATTAAAAAAACGCACGAAAACGCGTTTATTGGCGTTTTTTNTATTCATTTCAGTTTTTGTTCGTTTAATTGTTTTCTATCATTTAATATCCTATTACATTATCTCGTTTTGCGTACGTATTTTCTCGCACAGCACGGGTGTGGGTGTGGGTGTGGATGTGGGTGAGGGTGTGGGTGTGGGTGTGGGTGTGAGTGTGGGTGTGGATGTGGGTGTGGTTGCGGGTGTGGGTGGGTGTGGGTAGTATTACTTCTTCACCTTCATCCACACTCACCTGCACTTACACCCACACCCACACCGACACCCCACACCCACACCCACACCCACACCCACACCCACACCCACACCCTCACCCACACCCTCACCCACATCCACACCCACACCCACACCCGTGCTGTGCGAGAAAATACGTACGCAAAACGAGATAATGTAATAGGATATTAAATGATAGAAAACAATTAAACGAACAAAAACTGAAATGAATAGAAGCAAATGAATAACAAGCGCTCATAAAAAATATGCAGGTAATAGAAAGTAGAGTGACAACGAGAAAGCAGAAATCAAGCAATTTCAATGATACGAATCGACAGAGCAGTTTTACTGCGGGCAATGCACATGGATTTATAGTGGCCACCAAATACTAAACTCTTCACATTACACCTTTCGTATTGCTACTTATTCAAACGAAAAGGAGACAACATGCCAATTCCACATTCTTGTCACATTAGTGGTCAAACTGATAAACTTATTTCGGATCATATTCTTTACTCAGTGGATGAACAAATTGTTCTCTACTAGTAAAATATCTTTGGCACGATAGTTACTTTTATCTATACTTATAAGTAGTCTTCGGAGTTGAGGAACAAGAATTTTTGAATTAAATAAGCAACAATTGCGTTTAGACAAGCAAGAAAGCATCGATAGAAACAAGTGAAATGGATCACTTATTCTTCTCTTATTTTTGACAATGTTCGTCGACGTATAATCTGTGATTGTTCTCTGTAGCTCGAATCTAAATAATTGATACATCAATAGGGTGGTTAAGAACTAAATTGATAAAATATTTTTTGTGTACATTCATTCGTGACTAGAAACGCTAGCCACCACCGAATCGATCCTCTGTCGACGATGCATGATCAGATATCGTGCTATTTTCACGAGAACAGGAACGATAATTTTGAGCGCAACAGTTAATCCACCATATAGACCAATAATACTAGTGATTATGTATATTAGATTGGCCTGCTCGGTGATTACATAGATACATGAGAGAGGTGCACATGTTGCATAGTAATTTTCATAGGTGATATTCGATTCCCATCGATCAACCATAAGTACATCCACAAGAGATTGAACAGTAACATTAGGAGACGAGAGAGTGGAATTGAGAGGAC